GCAATTCAACAATAACAACAACGATAATTGGCGGACCTTAGCCACTACTTGGCGGTGATCCCACCGAGGCATTTGTGCCAGGCTAGGTGCACACATGCACAAACACAATCGCTTCCTCATACACATAACATACAAAGCCAAAGCTCCCCTGTATAGCATGTAACTGTCGGGGGCAAGGGCTGTTGGCGAGCGCCTATGAAGGCCGGCACGGCGCACAGCAACAGCAGCAGCAGGTACTGTTTCGAGGCCGAGTCGATCTAAAGGAGGCACCAGAACCGGTACAAGCGTACAGTGCGTGCCAGAGCGGTTGTGCGAGTCCAGGTGCGTGCAGGTGAAGCGAGACGGAGGCACGGGCGGACGACAGAGAGAGAGAGAGGGGGAGAGACCGAGTCGGTCTATAGATCCAATCGTAACCTGGGTTGTCGTGACATTCCTGGGCCGGTTAAATCCGGTTGGTCCCGGGCGCGAAGGGAAAAAAAGAGACGAGGTGAGAGAGGGCCGACGGGGATAGGGTGGGAGGGTGATGATGGGGGTCTTGGGTTTAAAAAGGCGATGCAGCTGGATCTTCGCCCACACACACGCACAGGTGTGCCCACAGACACAGGTGTGTGTGTGTCCACGGCCGTGGTTCCGCTCGTGATGCGAAGACTCCACGTCGTTTCGGTATTTCACAGCAATCTGCAACTCGCGCAACCACTCACCCCACTCACCACCCACACCAACCACACTCGATAGCCCTGCAAAGGCTGTTTGGAGCCCGCTTTTTAGTTAGCGAGCACCTGTTGAGGCTCAATTGTGTGGCCAACACCACCACGCCCGACCACGCCGCGTGCCACATGGACGAGTTTCAGGATGAATCCACCCAGGAGCGCGGCTCGTGTACCACTCCCGCGCCACTGATGTTGGCCGTGGCCGGGAATTGAACTTGGGCCGCAGGGTTGCAACACACAGACCACACATAACCATACAGGTACACACACACAGACTACACACGCACGCACATTTAATATGTGTGTGTGTTTGAATGATTGTTTTACGAAGGAACCAGTCCGGGTGGTCACGTGGTGGGAGCGTCCAACTTACATTCTCGATGGTGACGAGTCCACGTGTGTCGGTGTGGGTGGGGCGGCGGTGAGGGTTTGGAGGGGGGGGGGGGTAGAAACGGGTCGATAAAACGAGAGTACCACTTTGTCGGAAGTCCAGAGCGGTTGTCCGATGGTGATGTTCGCCCCCGCCATGAGAATGTGGAATTTTTAACCACTGGCTCAAGGCCGACCTTGACTCCGGGGTCAAGGTCGGCGCCAGGCCCTGCAGGCGAAGTTCACCTCTTGTGCAGGGGACGGAGGCGAATATCGCGTGGTGCGGCGTGGGGGCTCTGCGGTGGGCGCGCTGCGCCACGAAACCGGTAACCTGAGTTAGATCGCAGGTCACGGCGAACGGTCTCGCGTTCTTACCCGGTGCCCCGAGTGGACATCTGTGGGAAAGAGCTTTACAGCTCATCGGATTCCTGCTCCAGTATCAATACAGATTCCGATTCTGAATCGTTCCTGGGCACTCCCCTTCACCAGCATTGACCAGCGTGGTGAAGTATGGTCTCGAGGGATATACAGGTTTGGAGTGGGGGGGGGGCGGTCTGTTCATTTGTGTGTCAGCGCAGAATGGAATATTCTTAGGGCTCCCCTGACCGGCTTGGGTTTCGGGGGGGGGGGGATATTTTCCGGAGCTCAGCCCCCGGAAGAAGACGAGTCCGTGTGTAGAGCACCGGACTGTAGCGGAGTACAGCTCCTGTGAGCAGCACGCCACGTGCGTCCGTCACGCCGATCGATGCACGTGGGACGAGTTCGTTAGAACCGGGCTGTGTAACCGGGCATCTCGATAATCGATTATTATTATTATTGATTGTTAACGCTCACGTCAAATGCATCGTGAGCAGCTCGCGTGACAAGCAACGCTGTTTCATTGGATGAAATTATACGCAAATTTATGCAAATTAGCCGTCGACGTGTGCACGTGAGACGAGAGAACAATAGCAAGGAGGCGGTGACCTTTGCTCCCTAAGGGGCTCACGGTGGGAGGCCGTTGGTCAATCCACTGCTGGATGAGGGCCTCCATCATCCGTTGGGATGATTTTGACCATACTTCACCACGCCGGTCAGCGCGGGTTTCTGAAGGTACCGGGAGGTGATGAAGGGGGAGAGGGGGGAGGGGGCTCACGCCGCCTTTTATGCCGGTCGATCCAAGCTCGTGTCAGGGCCTCGATCACCGCCTGGCGTTCCCGTCGATTCGGTAACGGGGTGGCAACGGCGACGCGAGGCGGCGTCACGGGGCACGGCAAATGGATCGATGGATCGATTGTTCGATTTGCGGCGAACATTCGTCGAATCGCCGTGCGTTTGAACGGTCGCGCGATCGATTGGAGAGTCCGACGTTTCACGATCGGAACATTTCTCAGACTGCAGGAGGAATCTGATGAGCTATGAAGCTCTGTTTTTCACAGATGCCCAGTAAAAAAGAGGGGGGGGAGGGGTCGTGGGTTAAAAAAATAGAATAATTAGATGTTACCCTACAATAAACAATAATACGAGGAACGTGCTAAATCGGTGGCATCGGTGGTGAAATTTCGATTAAATTAACGTTCATTTTAAAGGCGCGTGCGTCTGACTTTAATCACACTTCGGCAGCACATTGTTTGACCGCGATGTTGTTTTGACCATACTTCACCGCTCTGATCAGTGCGGCTTACAGGTTTTAGGTGGCCCGGGACGGGACCAGTTAGGATATTGGGATTTCAGGCCGGAGGTCCGCCCGGTTCATAGCGCAGTGCGCTAACCGCTGCGCCACCACTCCTCCCACTCACGCACCCACCCACCCACGCTCTCACCCTCGAGGCTATATAAGAGAACTCTAAACGTGTGCCAATGTCTTGTGCGTGTGACCCACACAGGAGTGGAGTCGGGCGGAAACAGAACGACGGTCCGGTCGCGGATGATGATGATGAAGACGACTACGATACATCTGCTGATGATCATCATGCTGCTGATGATGATCGTCATCGTCACGATCGGCATCATGACCTGATGACAAATGATAATGATGAATACGATGATCAATACTGATAATGTGCTTCGAGTTGACTATAGAGTGGAGTTTGTGTCAGTGTGTCGTGCGCGTTAGCTTATCAGACTGGTGTTTGCTGTGGCACGCGCCATCCCTGAGCAACAACAGTCGATAAGCTGGCACGCGCGGGGCCCCATCGGACACGTGGCCACGCTCCGGAGCTCAGCCCCGGGCAGCTCCGGCTGAAATAGCGGTTGGCATTTATTGAATGAATTAAAAACACAAATCGAAGCCCCTCGTTGAAAAATGACGGTGTTAGTTGCAGACGTCTGAGATTGTAATTCGTAAACTATGACCCCCATCTCAAGATGATTGTACACACATTGAAACAATACGTTAAGGTAGTGTGAAGTGGGCCCTCATCCAGCAGTGCATTGACAAAAGGGCTGTACGTGTACAGCGTTGCTTTATTACTGTGGATATTACTTACACACACGCACACACGCACCCGCACGCGCGCGCATTATCTCGTCCCTCTGTCTATGCGACCCGTTCAGCAAGCCGTCCCATGCCCTCTGCCCTCCTCCGTCTTCGCATTGTTACCACCACCAACAACAACTAAGTGGCGGCGACGTCACCACGGCGCTTGTGCCAGGCTAGGTACACCTTTTGTAACTACGGTGAACGCAAGCGCATCTCGGTTACGTGTACGCAGATAATGTTGTGATTAAATACATCGCACGCGTCAAGAGTAGCCGAGTAGCGAGTTTGCCTTTCTTGGTCGTGCGTGCTGTTCCATGGAGATTTAACGTCGCTCGGCAACGATGTCCGACGTTTCGGAACCGCGCGCCGGGAGCTGCTACATGAATTGATTACGATGAATTGTCACGATTCGATTCGGAATCGATTATTATTATTGTGGGTTTGTGTTTCGTTCTCTCCGTCTCGTTTCCGCGAATACAGGTCGATGCTTTCAATGGACTCGCCATCACCCATTCTCTATCCACTGCGAGATCAAATGTCCCCGTACCTTTAGCCCCACGTCTTATCTCCGTGCCAGTCGTCCACACGGCAGCTCCATCAACCCCTTCCCGCTAGCGGTGGCTCACGTGTGCGTGTGTCTGCCGCGTGACGGCGCCTCGCGGTGAGCGCGCTGCGCTGCTGAACCCGACCACCCGGGCTCGATTCCCCGCTCGTGGTCAACATCGGCGACGAATATCTGAACCCCCTCCTTGGCCTTGTCCCTCTAGGTTGACTCGGCCTTAAATACGTATGCACGTTGAACTTCCTCCGCATCGTACGCAGCCAACCCGTGTTCATCGGCGGTGCGGGGAAGGACAACAAACTAAACACGAAACGCAGTTCTAAAGACATTAGTTTTAATCTAGATGATGATTTAAAAGTGCATAGCTCCAGTGGCTTCCTAATATCGGAAGGAAGAGCCTTCCAGACGGCCGCAGAGTACATGGAGCGGTGTGTGTACATGAACACTGGAGAGACAAAGGCTGCCGGGCGCGGCACTCGCCACCTACCCACGCCCATAGTGTGCCGTTCCGGCCTTAACAGGTGCTCGCGAACAGCTCTTGCCCCTACAGCCTGTGAAGGCTATGCCTGCGGAGCTTCGTCTAAAGTAGAAACATTAAAGTAGAAACATTACAGCCTTGATAAGGTTTGGTGGACAGGACGAGGGGGGGGGGGGGGCACTGGGCCTTCGTCAAAGGCGAGATTACATTGGGAACTAAGCAGCTCGTCGTACAGCGAACAGCGAACAGGAACGGAACAGCGCGAGTGACACACGTGGACTGCACGGACGTCGCTGACAGTTGGCGACTACAACCCCCCCACACACCCCCCCCCCTGCGAGCCCCCCCCCCCCCAGGATTTTGACACGGGAAAGCCCCCCCACCCTGCCCTCTACACCCCCCCCGCCCCCACTTCCCCCAGTGTAGAGTAGAGCCGCCCGTTCTATACGACTGCCACGTATGCATGTTGCACTTTTTTTCGCACCGTACGTAGCAAAACCGCGCTAATGCGAGGCAACGTCGGGTTTGTGGATGTGGCTGGGAATGTAATCGCGGGATGGGGGTAGACAATTTGGAGGTTTGGAGTAGAACGTGGCGGGAAGAGGAGGAGGACGCGATGGGTGGGACGCGTGGTCGTGATGGGTGGAGGGCGGGGTAATGTAACTCGTAGGCTGTGAATAGAGCGTGGCCACAGAGCGTTGTAGACATCAGGATGAGGGAGTTACCATGGGAGGAAGAGACACGTGGTGTGCAGGGTGGAGGAGGAGGAGGAGGAAGGCGGGTCACCGTGACTGGCACTCAGAGGTCGGCCATCAATGGGAAGCACTCAAGCCAGACACTGGTGATGGTGATGGCGATGATGGTGATGAAGGTGATGATGATGAGGCCATAAGAGCTGACACCGTTGGCCCGGTGTCACCTTCGCCACGAATTCGAGATCTGGTAGAAGGAGGCTGATGTGGGGTGACATTGACGGCACCGGTCGTGTTGACCTATTGACCTTTGACGGCGTTTCAATTCTCTGCTCTTTAACCGCAATCGCTCGGCGAATCGCAAAACCCGAGCGCCCAATTCGCCCGGTCCACGACTCGGCACCCTGCGGCCATCTCCTCTCGTACGGATGAAGAACCGGTCCGGTCCGGAGGCCGGCCCGGAGGCCGGTGCGGCCCTCCTCACAGCATTGAGTCGTCCGTGGAGAACCCGTTGGAGAGCGCGTCCGCTTTTCCGCCAGCGAGCTCCCGCGACGGCAGCGACGAGAGTTCGGCCCTGGGCGCCGTGCCCTCGTTCACCTGCGTGGCGCACGTGCGCCGGCACAAAGCGACGTTAGCTCGACGAGGTGGCCTTAAACCTCGCCGTATTTAATCCTGGAGGTATGCCCCCCCCCCCTTCCTCCTCCTCCCTCGAGCCCGCTGTAATTCACTTCCGCCCCTCCCCCCCTCTCGGCACGCGCGGCGAAACGTCGGACGTCGTGCCCGGCACCTTGCGGCACGACCCGGAAAAAGGCGAACCGGGGGAGAGCCGCCGTGGGGCAGCGCGACCGCCTCGAGGTTCAAGTTCATTTATTAGGTATAGCCCTGTGAGCCATTCGGCTCTTGAATCGGGTGCAACCGCAACAAACAAAAAACAAAAACATGAACAAAAAACATCTTAAAGTGAATATGTGACTGAGTGCAAACAGAAAATCCAAGAAAAGACAGTAAAATATTGCAGAAAAAGCACTGTACACAAAAATGTGCAAAAATCCCAGTGGAATGCAAGTCAAACAACGACGACCCCCCCCCGAGGGACGCATGCGGAGCGCCGCTCACCTCCTCGAACTTGCTCATGCGGTAGATGTTGCGTCTCCTCATGGTGTTCAGCAGCAGCCAATCACAAATCACCGAGGCCTGCACGCGCACGCGGATAGTCCAAACCGCCGTCGTAGTCATCATCAGCGCCACGGTGGCTAGGAGATGTTGGCTACCTCGCCCGGTATACAGGAGGTCGTGGGTCCGATCCCGACCCTGACGCCTGCTGCTGTATATTTGGAGTTTGCGTGTTCTGGATTTTTCTCCGGGTCGTCCGGTTTTTTCTCCTCCACATTTAGAATCAACATCACGTGTTTAGAGTGTTTGGCCGCGAAACATTTCCACGTGATAAGCCGCTTCGTTGAGATGTCGTTTGTGGCCAGGACACTTCTGAAAAAAGCGTTATATGGCTCAGTCGGCCTTACCTGGTAAAATCTAAAAAGTTTCGTTTATAGTTTACTATCACCACTACCACCACCACCACCATCATCTTTCATTATCGATTCTGGAACCATCATGCAATATCGATTCGTCACCATTCAATGCCGATTCGTAATTTTCCGTGATGATCATGAGGTATGGCCTTGGCACAGGAAGGCCGTCATCCAGCTGTGGATAGTCCGGGCTGGTGATATCACTGGGCACGTTTCTTAACCCCCCCCCCCCCCACCTTGCTATGTCCACAGAGCAGTCTAAATGGGTACCACCAGTCGATCGGCAGAGTCACGCGTGACGGTGGTGGGGTAAAGTGTGGCTACTCCCACCGCTTCCCAAGACGTCCTGGCCATCGTAGATATGATGATGAGGCCAAAAATACCATTCTCGGGTGGACTCCATTCCACCCTTCCACCTGCACTTGCAGGGCTGCGCCTTAACCGCAGCGCGGCGGTGCTGTCAGAACTCACCACCCCGACAGAGGTCAGAGCAGCGGCGAGGTTGATGATGGTGGGGATGATGTAGAATTTGCGCGCCTGGGGGGGGGGGCATGGAGGGGGGTACAGGGGGGCGAGAGAGGAACACATTTAGGGCGCCGTGCTGGTGAGATGTTATCTCCCTCGCCAGGTGTGCACGAGGTCGTGGGTTCCATGCCGGCTCTGACGGCCTCTCTATATGTGGAGTTCGTGTCTCTCTCTCTCTCCCCGTGGTCACGTCGATTTTTCTCCGGGTCCTCCGGTTTTTCCCCCTCCACATTTAGAATCAACATCACGCGTTTAGAATATTTGGCTGATATAAACTTCAACATGGTAAGCCACTTCGTTGAGCTATCATTTGCGATTTCCAGGTCGCTTCTGAAAAAAGAGCTGCATAGCTCAGTTTGGCCTTAACTGGTAAAATAAAATATATATATAGTTTAAAAAAAAAGTAAATTAGGGGCAGGGTTATGATGAAGATTATATTCCATGTTGCGAGGTACAGGCCGGGACACAGAGCCACGGGCGTGGAGCTACATGATGAGAGATGACGGCCTCTTACAGCCGAACGTACGACGGCATCGCCACCTGCGGCCCGAGCTGCGGAAATGGTGATTTTTTTTTTTTCAGAAAGTTTGGCACAAGACAAGGGAATATGGGGAAATTTTTTTACGAAATGTGCAGTGTGCACCTACGGGCTATCTGCCCATGGGTCGTGATGATGATGAAGATGTCGATGATTCGTGGGCGGGAGACAGAGCGTGGGCGAATGCGCGTGGGTTGGAGCCGGCAAGGGAGACGTGAGTGCGAGAGAGTAGGTAGGGTAACGCGTGATGCAAGATGGGGGAGAAATATGACGGGGTGGGAGACGTTGGTAGAGGGAGAGAGACGGGGGGGGGGAGGTATGACTGCCGCGGTGGGAGAACGCATGGATTGGAACGATGGGATCAGGGAGAGAGAGAGAGACGGGGTGTGGGAGATGGTGGGGTGGGAGCAGGGCGAGTGGGAGCCGCGCACACCTCGCCGGAGACGACGATGTCCACGCGGATGCCGTACGCCTTGACGAGCGTGCGCGCCTCAACGCCGCCGGGGAGCACGTGGTAGCGCGCGTACCTGCACCACGCGGCACCGGCGTCCCCGCACCCACAGATGTTGCACAAGATTTGCATGTAATTTGCATGTAATTTTCATGTCGTCATCATCGTCGTCTATTCAATCTGCAATTTCAAGTTAAATCTAAAAACGTACCTTTTTAAACTTGTATCGTGTTATTACGCTGTGGTTAATGTAAACATGATTCCTTGTTAAAAGGTTTCAGTTTTGTGGCCAGAAAAAAGGGGGAAAAAAACTATTATTATATTTTGGTACTGGCAAAGGAGGCCTCATGATGTTAAAGGATGTGGTTGTGTTTCGAAAGGAGGGGGGAACGGAGGAAGGGAGGGGATCGGAGAGGGGGATGGGATGGGATGAGATGGGAGGGGAGGGAGGGCACCTGAAGTTGTAGCCCGCCCCGTTGTCGAGGCGTCTGAATGAGTACATGGGGTTGCAGGAGTCCGCGCCGCGATCCAGGTCGCACGTCCAGCTGATTAGAACTCCCAGCACCCCGCCCTGCAGAAGCACCGCGCCCAGAACACACCACACACACAACACACACACACCACACACACACACACCACACACACACACCACATACACCACACACACACACACCACACACACACACCACACACACATACAACACATACACCACACACAGACCACACATACAACACACACACCACACACACACAACACACACAACACACACACAGGTTAGACGTTCGGGTCAAAAAGGTCACCGCGGTCAATGCCACACGAGTCGAGTGTGAACTGCGCACCTCCGATTAGCACGGTTGGCTAAGTACGGTGCTAAAGAAGTTCAACATACATACATACATACGCACATACGAACTCGAGTTTGCCGTGCCGGCAGCGCGTGGTCTACCCACGGTGTTTTCTCGACTCAGAATCAGAATCTTGATTCCGGCAGCAGGAGGAGAAATCCGATGAGCTATGAAGCTTTTTTTTTCAGAGATGTCCCAGGTCAGCACGTGGGCCGTGAGCCCGTGGCTATGCGGCTCGAATTCTCTGGAGCCGATTTCACTTCGTGGGGCTGGCCGGCTGGCCTGGGTTCCGCAGCTCGGAAGTCAGGCGGAGTGGAAATATCATCATCATCAGACTCTTTATTTATCCTGGAGAAATCCGATGAGCTATTAAGCTCTTTTTTCACAGGTGTCCCAGCAGGGGCGGGTAAATGAGTTACGACGGCAAACAAAACAACAACAACAACAACAACCGATATGAGTACATAATAGAGAAACGGTAGGCAAGTCACTCAAAATAAATACAAAAAACATAGGTAACGTATATATAAGTACCAAAATGCATTAGTGCGTACACTCCTGACGAGTGTTCAACGCTAAATACAAGCTTTGGCAAAGCAGCAAAAACACCAAGATCAGTGCCAAGGCCACGCGAAAACAACGACGCAGTTCCTCAATAAAATCGCGCATTACAATTGTTTACGCGGGTAATTAACAGAATTCCGTCAACAGCCACCAGATGTCGTGGGGCTATTTCAGTCTTTCTCAGGAGATCTGTCGCTGGTGTTGACACCACGCGGACGAAATCCTCACAGCCGTGGAGAGGCGCGGGCTCTGGTTTCGGGTGGACTCGAGTCAATGGCCAGGGATGGGGCACTGCGTTGAGAAACAAATGCATTGTGTGTGCGTGCGTGTGCGTGCGTGTGCGTTGAACTTCTTCCGCGCCGTACGTAGCCAACGGCGCTAACCGAAGGCGCGGGCGAGGGACAACAAGCCAACACGCGCGAAAGAAAGCAGTTCTCAAGAAATGAGTTGTCAGCCGAGATGATTTCCACGTGCGGGCTTTCCTAATATCGGAAGGAAGAATCAGAATCAGAAAATGCGTTGAGACTGGCTTTGAAGCTCTGTTCCACAGATCTCCATTCCAGACAGCCGCCGATGCGCATCTGAAAGCGCTGCGATGGCATTGCCATGAAACCACAAAAAATGTTCTACCGGTTCAAGATATTTTTTAAATGTGGTGCAAGGCAATGAATTATAACGAGGGTCACCCCCTTTGTTTGTGTACCGCTGTGTGCGTAAACAGCGATGTTGTTTCGAACGCTCTGGCAGTCGGCGATGGAATGAACGCGGCCTCTCGTGACCGATTGAGCAGCTGGACACATTTACGGCGCCGCCAAACGATTCGGGCAATTTCCCTTCCCAGCTTCTGATGTGGTTCAGTGGCCCGAAGCTTTTATTGGGAACAAAAAATCGTCACGAACGCGCTCGCATTTGGCAAGTTAACACTAACACGGCGCGCGAGATACACGCATGTGTGACTGTGTGTGTCTGTGTGTGGGGAGCGGTAGTGTAGTGGTTAGCGCGCTGCGCTACGAACCCGGCGACCCGAGTCTGATTCCAACTCACGATCAATAATAACGGTGAACATATGAATCGGACCTGAGCCTCCCTTAGGTCGACTCAGCCTTAAATTGGTGCCTGGTGCCGGTGCGTAAACATCAGCACTGGGGAAACAAAGGCGGCCGGGATTGGTGTTGGCCACCCCATCCCACCCCCGTGTGCTGAACCGGCTAACAGCACTTACCCCAACCGTCTGAAGGCTATCCTTTGTCCTTCGCATGTTCACATGTTTGTCTCTGCACGTGCGTTTGTGTGTGTGTGCGATTGTGTAAGTTGGAGCGGAGACTCAGCGGGTCGTGCACCGCACTACGAAGCCTACGGAACCTGAGTTCGATTCCAAGCCAAAGACTACCATCAGTGACAAGTCGTATCAGCACCGGGCCTAGTAAATGAGTACTCTGTACGTGTGCGTCCCCGCGTGTGCGTGTGTGTGTATGTGGGCGCGCGCTGGGGACTGTACCTTTTTAGAGAACTTCTGGTAGGTGAGGCCAGCCCTCTTCAACATGTCACCCAGGCGGAAGATGGGGCAGTAGTTGTTGTGCCGGGCGTCGTGCTTGCACGACTGGAGGTAGGTCTTGGGCATGTTATCTCGCAGGTTGCCCCTGCACCCCAGCCGACAGCGCGGGGATCAGGGAGGGTGGGAGCACCCACACTCTACAACACCACATGCAACCTGCCCCCCCCCCCCCCCGATGTAACCATTGTGCACGAGTTCTCATCTCAACGTTGTTCTGTGACCTCAGTCCGGACCAAGCGTCGTGGTGTTTTGGTCGCTGGGGTTGGTGACGTTTCTGGCGACTGGAACGCGGAAGATCCTCCACCCCCTCCTCGCTAACAGCACTTGCTCCGACCGTCTGTGAAGGCCATACATGGGGCCTGCGTCTTTGTCTTGTGTGTACGCATGGGTTTGACCACGATGGGACCTTGGCCTGGTTGTGAACTCATTGCCCCTCAAGGTCAATAGGTCAGGGGGTTTTATTGATCGAACAACAGCAGCAGCAGCAGCTGATGCCGTAAATGCATCGTGCATGCAAATGCGTCGCGTACGGTAAGGGCATTGCTCGCGCGATGAAGTTCGGAAAAGGGACGCGAGTGAGCCACATGTGGAGAGTTGGGTTGGAGTCAAGCACTCGGATTAGAGGCCGCGTCGGAGAATGCGGGGGGTGTTGTCGTTCTCGAGGCTATGGGGTGGCCATTCTACGGATAACGCGAACGCCTGCGTCAGATTTCGCTCGCCTCCTCGCATAGCCCGACGGGTACCCTCCGGGTCGCTCCGCTTCGCCTCCCACACGCAGCCCAACACTCATTTATCCATCCCAGTCAGGACTTTATTTTGGATCCCGACCGCATGTATGTAAGTTGAACTTCTTTCGCACCGTACGCAGCCAACCGTGCTAATCGGAAGTGCAGGGGAAGGACAACCAACTGAACACGAAGAGGCAGATCAGCACTGGACAGCTCCGACGGGAACTCACTTGGAGAAGTTGAACTTGGGGAAGCGAATGTTGTTCTTGATGAAGATGGTGAAGTTCTCGGCCTCAGCCAAGAGGGTGTACCTGTGTGCAGGTGGTAGTGGGGGGGAAGAAGGGAGAGGGCGAGGGGAGAGATAATTAAATCGTTGGGGGGGGGGGGTCACGTGATCTGGCTCATTGAATGAAGCCGCAAATCAAAAAGGAAAGCGCCTCAATGCTTGTAGCCACACAATGAGACCAACAATATTTACACATTCAGGGTGCTTCAAAAAGGTGTTAACACGTCTATGGGACTATCGTTGTTAATGGAAAGAGAACGGTTAATACATTGTAACGTGATAACAAATGTGATGTTAACAGCTTTAAAAAGTCAAAGAGCCTTCACTTGTTCGCCATCATTGTCAACGCGTGCCTGGAATCTTCTCCAGGTGGTCTTCAGAGCCCGGAGACGGCACATTTATTGTGGTATTGTTGCAAATTCTCAGAAGTGTTAAAAACAATTTGAAGCACCCTGTATATGAATCGTTACATTTCCATTAGATACACATCTAGAAAAAAATATATTTACTTTAATGTTGTGTGCATCGATACAGTAATCGTGTATGTGTATACATTAATACATGTCATTTTGTAACGACTTCGCGTGCGCGCAATGGGCTCCTAGGCTTCCGCGGATTTCTGGGGATTCCGCGGATTTCTGGGGATTCCGCGGATTTCTGGGGATTCCGCGGATTTCTCTGCGCGCCCATACTTGGCGTTGCGTCCCTCGGACTCCACGGGGCACCAGGCGAACACCTCACACGTGCCCTGCCCCCTGTTGCCCGAGCAGCGGCCCGTCTTCACTCCTGGGGCAGGGGGGGGGGCAGGGGGGGGGCAAGGCAGGGCAGGGGGGGGCAGGGCAGGGGGGAGCAGGGCAGGTGGTTATCCATAACAGAGTTTTTTGGGGGTTATATCGCGTAAATATATTAAAATGTGTCATTAAAGCCCGCCACATACCGACACAGCCAACTTGTAAGGGTTTTCACGTAAACAGAACATGCCAATTCGTCACTAGTATAGCACTAATCGGTGTGTTGGAGAGCCAAGCCACAACATTTACAATCTGAGTACGACGTTTCACCAGTAATTACAACTAGCTTCATCAGGCGACAGACATATTTGTGGAGTACACCTGTGTCGTTCCTTACATAGAGGCGTAGATGTGGTAACCACACTTCTGCGCTCTTGCGCAAAGTGGTTATGTGGGCAGTTGAGTGGATGGGTAGATGGCTGGGTAAGTGAGTCAACAAGGGAGTGGGTTGGTGGCTGGGTGGATCAGTGGGTCGGTGTGGGTGAGTGGGTTCGTTAGTTGAATTAATGGTTAGGTGGATGGGTGGGTGCGTGTGTGAGCAGGTGGGTGACTGGTTTAAAATTCGGTGGGTCGGCGTGAAATGTGAATGTGGGTTGTAAGTCGGTATGTGGATGGGTATGCGTGTGGATGGGACGTTCAGTGGGCATGGGTGTGGGCGGGTAGATATTAGGTGGCTGGATGTGGATGGGTGTATTGTGTTGGTGGCTGGTATGGTAGGTTGCAGGGCAGAGAGGTGGGTAAATATTAACATAGGTAGGTCGACATTGAAGTGTATGTATTGGTATACTGTACTGTATATATGTATAGATAGCTGGATGGTGTGGTGGTATCGGTGTGGACAATAGTGAGAGGTTTACGTTCATCTATACTTTTTGTAAATAAGCAGGATGAGTCGTATTTGCGACGAGGACGCTTAGTTGGCAATGCCCCGAGCCATGCCTGCCTGGCCATGCCCCTGCCATGCCCCGAGCCATGCCTGCCTGGCCATGCCCCTGCCATGCCCCGAGCCATGCCTGCCTGGCCATGCCCCTGCCATGCCCCGAGCCATGCCCCCAGCCATGCCCCGAGCCATGCCTGCCTGGCCATGCCTCTAGCCATGCCCCCAGCCATACCCCCCTTGCCATGCCCCGAGCCATGCCTGCCTGGCCATGCCCCTGCCATGCCCCGAGCCATGCCTGCCTGGCCATGCCTCTAGCCATGCCCCCAGCCATACCCCCCTTGCCATGCCCCGAGCCATGCCTGCCTGGCCATGCCCCTGCCATGCCCCGAGCCATGCCCCCAGCCATGCCCCGAGCCATGCCTGCCTGGCCATGCCTCTAGCCATGCCCCCAGCCATACCCCCCTTGCCATGCCCCGAGCCATGCCCCCAGCCATACCCCGAGCCATGCCCCGAGCCATGCCCCCAGCCATACCCCGAGCCATGCCCCCAGCCATGCCCCTAACCATGCCCCTAACCATGCCCCCAGCCATGCCCCCAGCCATACCATTGTAGAGTTGGTCTCGTTCCCCTGGTCGGCAGCTGGTGTCGTTGGAACATGGCGCCGTGGGAGTGTCGGGGTCCTGTCCACAAACAACACACAAAGACAAAGACCCCCCGTATAGCCTTAACACACGTTTTGGGGCAAGTTCGGTTAGCGTGCACCTCTGAACAGCGGGCACATCACACGTGGGGGTTGGTGGCCACCACGCATGTCCGGTCGTCTTTGTATCCCCAGTGCTAATGTGTACACGCCACACCAGGTACTCATTTAGGGTTGAGTCGACCTAGCGCGGTGGGGGGGAGGGGGTGGTGGGCAGCTACACGCCCGATCGCCTTTCTCTTCCTAAGTGCTGCTGTTTCCACGTCTCACCAGGGACTCGTTTAAGGCCGAGTCTACCTAGGGGATTGTAGATATCGCCCGGGGTGTTTTTTAATGTAGAAAGCTACTCCACGGAGTGTGGAGGTGGGTGGGGGGCGTGCGGGGGGGGGAAGGGGTGTGGTTCGTCGTACGCTGCGCTCTAAAGCCGGGACCGCCTCGGTTGGATTCGGGGCCACGGCTCACACAGTGGGTCCAGGGCGGGCACAAGACCAACGAGCCGAAACGAAGCCGTCAGCTCTGCCAGAGAGTCAAGTGTATATTACAGGGTGATTTAAAAAAAAAAAGGTTCACACTTATATGGGACTATCGTTTTTAATGGGAAAAGAACGGATAATACTACACTGTAACATGATAACACATGTAATGTTAATAAGCTTCAAAAAGTCTCCGCGTGTTCGCCATCGTTGTCAACGCGTGGCCTGGAATCTTCTCCAGGTGGTCTGCAAAGCCCGGAGGCAGCACGTTTCTCGTGGCATCGTTACAAATTCTCAGAAGTCTCAACATGTTTGTGAAGTTCCCCGCATGTATAAAAGTGTGCAACTATATTGACAGATGTCGGAACAGCACGGGAGACGTTCATACTGGTAGGAACCACCTGGTTCCACCAGCCCACAGGGGATTATTGTGTCCGTCGTGCATCCAAAAATGGGAGGGGTGGTGCTGGGTGGAGAGGGGAGGGTGGGGAGGGGCTGGGTGGGGAGGGTGGGGAGGGGTTAGGTGGGGAGGGTGGGGAGGGGCTGGGTGGGGAGGGTGTGGCTGGGTGGGGGGTGGGAGGGGTGGGGCTGGGCTGGGCTGGGTGGGGAGGGGCTGGTCACCCCGTTGTGCCCTTATAAAACTCAACGTTTAACCTACTCACGCCGGCTTGTGCCCGCCCTCACAGTCGGGCATATTTGCGGAATACACCACGCCGCCGTTGACCCTGGCCATTGACCGAGCAACCCAACGTTCCTACCAGCTCCCTCCGCAGGAATGTGTTTATTCTTTGCAGCCACTGTGATAGTAGCGCGTGCTACGTTATGCCCCGTCGATAGTGCCGCGTGTGATAAATGAAAAGAGACACTTGGGAGTCAAGCGTACGTCTGATGCGGGAGCCTCGAGCCGAGATTGTGAGGAGGGTCCTGCAACGGAGATCGCCTGGCCAACGCCATTTACCTCCGACCGAAGCAATCTCGCCAAATTCTCGGAAGCTAACCCGGATCTGAACCCGGTTATGACTCGGATGACGCACTCGTGTTTGCCCGGCGCGGGCTGCGGGGTCGACACTTCGCTGGCGATACGGCGATGGATTGTTGAATCCATCTGTGCGGAGCGTTACGTGCTGCTCCGTCGCATGCGCGGTGGAGGTTTTCTCTCGACCCGAAGCCAATTCTCCATCGATTTTGCCCGAGTAAATAAAATATTTATAAATATTCTAATGAATAATAAACAGTCACAGAGAGTTTTAAGAAAAAAAAATGTCACAGGACTCCCGTTGCATTTGGGATGTTTGGCCAATTTAGGGTGGCATGGTGGATAGGTGAGAGGAGAGGTGGGTGGATAGGTGAGAGGAGAGGTGGGTGGGTATGAATGTGGCGGACAGATTTTTAAGTCGCTTAAAGGCACTCCGACCACCGTATCAGCATCCAGCCACCCTCCTTAGCCAGCCAGCCAGCTACCCATACGCATACCAACTCAGCCACTTAAATATACGTGATTACAAAGAAAAAGACCCCCCCGTATAGGCTTGACAGACTTTTGGGGCAAGTGCTGTTAGCGAGTAGCACCTATGATGGCCGGCACAGTACAAAAACGACTCATTCTGGTCTCTAGATTTATAACCTGGTTATTTAAAAAATATATATAAACATAAACCTCTCACTATTACCCACACCCCTACCACCAAACCATCCAGCTATCTATACATATATACAGGACAGTATACCAAAACATCCACTTAAATGTCGGCATACTTACGTTAATATTCACCAACCTCTCTGCCCTGCAACCTACCTAGCCAGCCACCATGATTACCTCCGCCACGTTCACACCCACCCCACCTGGCCTCCCACCTTAACACCCAACCACCAACCCACCCACCAACGCACCCACCATACCACCCACAAACAGTGCACCAAACATCCCACCCAACCAAAGCAACAGGACGTCTGCGCAAACAAAAAAACCCCCAACAGTCTCGAGACCGAGTGAGAAGTCTTTGGGTCTTTCGGTAGCGCCACGTGGACAGAAAAAAAATAACCAAAAATATCGACGTTTCGATCGCAACACAAGCGGTCGTCTTCAGGAAAAGGGGGTATTTTTTTACGTCTACGTGGCTTTACCGAAAGATCAAAAGAATATGAATTCCTACATTCACGAAAGCTTTAAGTCAAGATTTAACCGAGTGAGTGTTTTGTATAATACTATTATTATGATCACGATGATGAATTATATTTTACTCTACTCGCGCACAACAGACGAGCATTAATGAATTCCCCCTGGTGCGATTGAGTGGCTGCAGGGAAGTCACGCGGCGTCGGATATGCGATCCGCCTCGCGTCGTAAGTTTGCACACACGGACTAACAGCAACACCAACACAGGGCGGGGGTAGGGTGGTGGTGGGGGGGGGGTCGTTCAGGTGCCCCCCCTCTACCCCAACTTCCTCGCTGGGGGGGTATCGGGTGCAGGTAAACAGACCCCGCAAATTGGCCCGTAACGAATAGCGTCCCCCCCGTATCAGCCCGGCAGACGCCACGCGCGCGCGATATCGGAGGCATTGGAATTCACGAACGCGATTGATTGCTCAGTGAGAGGTTTTAAACGGCGTTAGCATCGACAGTTCCATCATTGTAACCCCCGCCCCCCTCCACCACGCCCTGTTCCCCATCCCACTGATCCCCCTAATCCCTGGACAGCCCCCCCCCATCCCATCATCATCACATCTTTCTCCCCAGGACGACTTCCTCGCGTAATTGCCACCCTCCACCCTAATCCTCCTCCTTCGCTCTGAATCCTCTCTCCCGAACCATCTCGACCGCTCACGCACGCCACCCCCCCTCCCCCCAGGGCGCTTCCCCTCGCTAATTGCCTTCCCTAAGCCGAGCCCTGTTCCTTGCAGTCGTTACGGACGGGAGCCAGAGGCGTGCTGGGTCACAATCGGTGCTCGCGGGAGCGATGTAAACAGCGCAGTCGTCGCTTAAGTCAGCGTCGTTAACCGTGACGTCAACGACACCACCATCATCATCATCGCAACAACCACCACCATCATCATCACAACCACCACCATCATCACTATCATCACAACCACCATCATCATCATCACAACCACCATCATCATCACAAGCACCATCATCACAACCACCACCATCATCATCATCATCACCGCTACCGTCACCTCTAAAAGACAAAGATTCCCCGTCTGGACTTTAACTGACTTTTTATGGCACCTAAGTGGGTGGGGTGGCTAGCACCACGCCCGGCCGCCTTTGTCTCCCTCGCGGCGATGATTACACACAGCACCATGTACTCATTGAGGCTGAGTCGACACAGGGGAGGCCCAAGACCGGTTCAGATAATCGTGACTGGAGTTGGCCATCAGCGGTAATCGAACTCGGGTCGCTGGGTTCGTAGCGCAGCGTAGCGCTAACCGCTACACTGCTCCTCCCCACCGTCACCTCCACCATCATCATCATCACCCATACTACCACGACCATCACCTCGACCACCATCATCACCCACACCAACGCGACCCGTCACCTGCACCACCATCATCACCCATACGACCACTACTACCACCACCATCACACCATCGCCGCACCCCCATTCCCATCACCACCATCACATATACCACCACTGCCACCATCGTCACCCCCAACACACCGCGCCCACTCGCCCCACCATTCCAGAGGCCGCTGGTGTAAACACAATGCGCTGCTAGATCGAGTGTTAGATAGTGCGCAAGGAATGCGCACTCGCACGCACCGCAGCTTCGCGGAAGGGTCCTCGCTCTCGACTCCTGCGTCACCGTCGCATCTGTTATCCATCGCGCCGACCGTCAAACGATTTTGACGGCGGGCGGTGGCCGTGCTGCGCGTGGCTGACTCGAGTCCAGCGCTGCGGAGGCAGCTGCGAGGGGGTGGTGCATCACGCTGCGGCTGTTCCGTGACTCCCTTTGCTATCAGTCGGCGAGCGACCAGGAAGAGCCATAACGCTGGCTCGCCGGGCGTGACAGTGTGCATGTGCAGTTGAACTTCTTTCGCACCGTACGTGGCCAACAGGTGCTAATCGGAGGTGCAGTCCGGGACAGCAAATGCGGACTCCATCCGTTACATCTTCGCACGCGTGGGTGTTGTTCTTTTTCCCCTTCTTCTGGGTCCTCTCGTTTAATCCCGCGTGTGAACGCTCATTCATTTGGCCGTTAACACTTTAATGCGTAGAGGACCGCAGAGCTCGCAGGGGAAGTTGGCACCAGCTAAACCACGTGGCTGTTGCTGTTGCTCCCTTTCCCCCGCTCCTCTGTGGTTAGGAGATGTTAACTACCTCGCCTGGTAAACACGAGGTCGTGCGTTCGATCCCGACCATGACACCTGCTGCTGTATATTTGGAGTTTGCATGCCTCTCTCTCTCTCCGTGGTCACGTGGATTTTTCTCCGGGTCCTCTGGTTGTTCCCTCCACATTTAGAATGAACATCACGCGTTTAGAGTATTCGGCTGCTATAAAGTCCCACACGATGATAAGCCACTTCGTTGAGCTATCATTTGTGACGGCCAGGTCGCTTCGGGAAAAAAGAGCTGCAATAGCTCAGTGTGGGCCTTACCTGGTGACATCAAAACAAACTCAGGTCGCCTATAGGTCACAGCACGATGCGTGAACCACTGCACCACCGCTCCCACCTCCCATTCTATTCCCCAACGTATTTCCCGTTAAATATTGCACGTACGAATAGCTGAACGTAAATCATCCGTCTACGAGAGCGAGCGAACGCTGTGCGGCGGCGGCGGCGTGTAACAATGAGACATCGTGATTACGGGCGGATTCCGTCGATGATTTTGTTGGAACTCGACGGCGGTGGTTTTGATATTCGCGGATGTCCGTACGGTGCGGAGCTGTCGCGAAAGCGTCATGCCCCACAGGCAGGTATAGTCAATCTTCCAGTAGGGGTGGAGAGTGGCAATGATGTGGTCATTGTGTTTTATTTGATCTAATTTGCGAGTAATAACGGTCAGATTTGGCACAATGTGCAACGAGACACTGGCAAGTCTATGGATCTCTATGCGAGTCTATGGATCTCTATGCGAGTCTATGGATCTCTCTCACCTCGGAGCACACTCCTCACTCGAACGGGGGCACACTCCTCACTCACCACTCCTCACTCACCACTCCTCACTCACCACTCCTCACTCACCTCGGGACACACTCCGAGCGACTGCATGGGCGTCTCGAGCACGTTGGTGATGATCACGAAGCTGTCCGTGCCCTGCGCAGCGGGGGGGGGGGGCGGGGGGCATTGGAGAGATATTGGGGAGCATGAGGGGGGGGGCGTGGGGGGTAATGCGGGGGACATGGGGGGGGACATGGGGGGGAGAGATTGGGGAACAAAGGCGGACATGGGGGGTAGGGCATGGGGGGACATGGGTGGCCACAGGGGACATTGTGAGACACGGGGGATACGGGGGGATTCAGTAAAACTGCGCGATTGGTTGTATACTGTGAATCTTAAACATATATTTTTAAGTTTGTATTGTTGAAATTTGGATTTTGTTACATCTCATCTCATCTAATTTCATATTTATAGAACACCTTCACTGACACGTCACCTGTCCACTGACGTCAACTGTCCACACACCCCCTCCACCTGTCCACTCACCTGTAAACTCACCTCACCATCTCTGCCACCTCCTCACAACCACCTCTCACCTGCCCACACACTCCCTTCCATCTGTCCACTCACCTGTAACCCTCACCTCACCCGTTTCACTCACCCCACCTTCTCTGCCACCCTATCACAACCACCTCCCACCTGCCCACACACCCCCTCCACCTTGTCCACACACCTGTAACCCTCACCTCACCTTCTCTGCCACCCCATCACAACCACCTCTCACCTGCCCACACACACCCTCCACCTTGTCCACACACCTGTAACCCTCACCTCACCTTCTCTGCCACCCCATCACAACCACCTCCCACCTGCCCACACACCTGTAACCCTCACCTCACCTTCTCTGCCACCCCATCACAACCACCTCTCACCTGCCCACACACCCCCTCCACCTTGTCCACACACCTGTAACCCTCACCTCACCTTCTCTGCCACCCCATCACAACCACCTCCACCTTGTCCACACACCTGTAAACTCACCTCACCTTCTCTGCCACCCCATCACAACCACCTCCACCTTGTCCACACACCTGTAACCCTCACCTCACCTTCTCTGCCACCCCATCACAACCACCTCCACCTTGTCCACACACCTGTAACCCTCACCTTCTCTGCCACCCCATCACAACCACCTCCACCTTGTCCACACACCTGTAACCCTCACCTCACCTGCGTGTGCACCGCCACCGCTCACCTGTGGGGGCATCACGTACTCGGCCACGTCCCACACGCGCGCCCTCAAGTCGCTACCGTTGGTCGCAGTGACCCCCTTGACCTTTGAGATGACGGAAACCTCCTTCACCCCCTCGGCCGTCTGGTAGGCCTTCTCGGTCAGAAACACCCAGCTGGAGTGGCGGGGAGACACAACGGGGGCGTCACACATGGGGCTGCTTGAGCTACTTGGTATATCGTGTGCAGCATAACAGACCACACCGGGTCTCATAAAACAAAACTGTTTAAAATTAAAATTTTATCAGCAATATATGTTTATGGAGGTTTTAAGTGACTCTCCGTCGCCAAGTCTGACGCGATTCGAGGGTTTACGCAGTCTACTGAGACTTGCTAAAAAAGGTCAATATTGAACGTTGATTTGCGTTCCGTCGAATCGAGGAGCCGTTCGACCAAGTCTCGCGCACGAGGAGTCAAATGTTGCCTTTGTGAACACGGAGCCAGCCAGTGGTCGTCAGGCAGACTGCGAAGCTTCTTCGTGTTCAGCCGCTCGTAACAACAACGTTCCTCCAACCCGACTGCTTCGACATCACGAGAACTGATGTCGACTCGCACCAACACCACCCCGCAGGATTTTCTGACTGGGATTACGATTCGCGGGATAATAAATAAATCAACATTGCGAACATTTACGTTTTTTTTCTTTTGCCGCACACCACCGGTATACAGCCAAGACGTTCTCATGCAAAGGTGGGAGGGGAAAAGTGGTCCATGGTTTTCACGCGCTGAGCTAGGCGCAGCCCCGCAACAACTTGCTCACGTCGCTGCTGGCGGAAGGGGGCCTCGACACGAGGAGGTTCTAGAGGGGGGTTTGTGTTGTTTATCAGGTCAGGCCCGCTGAGCTACACAGATATCTTTCCGAAGCGACCTGTCAATAACAAATGATAGCTCTACGAAGTGGCTCATCATCATCATCACGTGGAAAATGCACAACAACCAAATACTAGAAACGCGCGAAGATCATTCTTAAATGTGGAGGGGGGAAAAAAACGGAGGCACCCGAAGAAGAATAAAAAAAACGCGACCACGGGTAGAGACAGAGACGCGCAGACTCCAAATGTACAACAGGCGTTAGGGTCGGGATCGAACTCACGACCTCCTGTATAACAGGCGAGGAAGTGAACATCTCCTAGCCACCGTGGCGTCCACGGTGGGGTATGGGATGGGGGGTGCAGAAAGGGGATGAGGAGATGGGGCATATGAGAACGAGTGGACGTAGTCGAGGTGCGTAGACTGGGGGGGGGGGGGGGGGGCGGGGGGCACAGACTGGTTCACGTACACGGGTTTTCGTGTGTATGGAGTTACCTGCCCTCGCTCCCTGCCCCAACCACTGCCCCCCCTCTCCCTGCCCCTCTCCCTACCCATACCGCTGCCCTCTGTCAGACCATACTCCGACCCTCTCCTTCTCTCTGTCCTCTCTCTGCGACCTCTCCCTGCCCCACTGCTGCCCTCCCTCGATCCCCACATCCCTGCCCAATACCCCAACCCCATACCCTAGCCCGACACCCTAACCCCATACCCCTGCCCCATACCCCTGCCCCATACCCCCTAACCCCATACCCTACTCCATACCCTTGCCCCATACCCCAGTCCCATACCCCTGGCCCCATACCCCTGCCCCATACCCCCTAACCCCATACCCCAGCCCCATACCCCTGCCCCATACCCCAGCCCCATACCCCTACCTCATACCCCTGCCCCATACCCCCTAATCCCATACCCCCTAACCCCATACCCCAGCCCCATACCCCAGCCCCATAGCCCCTAACCCCATACCCCTGCCCCATAGCCCAGCCCCATAGCCCCTAACCCCATAGCCCCTAACCCCATAGCCCAGTCCGTGGCCACGCTCACCCGACGAAGTAGGTGAGGATGAGAGCCTGCGCCCCGCGGTAGACGACCCCCAGCTTGCGGCTCTTCACCACCATGGTCTTGGGCGTCTCGTAGTCAAAGAACCCGGACCACATCTCGCGGCAGAAGCCCGCGGTTCCCGCGCGAGAGCCCATGGTCCCGAGGCTGCTGAGATGATTTCACTGCCGCTGCCGCTGCTGCCACCAGCGCCGCCGCCGATCTCGGGCGAGCTGAGTCCGCTGAGTCAGCTGAGTGAGAGGAGTGAGCTGAGTGAGGGGGGTGAGAGGAAGCTTTCTATGCTGGCATGGTCGGAGCGAGCGCTTTCATTCTATCAAGGTCTGACCACCCCACCCCCACACCACTAATGTCCCCCCCCACCCACGCGTCAACTCATCCCCCCACTGGACTCATCCCTCTGCTCCCAGACTCATCACTCCTCCAGCCACCCTGCCCCTCCCAACCCTAGACTCATCGATCCTCAACGAATAATTCGCCGATTAATATATTCATCACCCACCTACCTCTCCATCACCCACCGACCTCCCCATCACCCACCTACCTCTCCATCACTGACCTACCTCTCCATCATCTGACCACCTCACCACCTGTACTTGATCGGCGGGTAGGGCAGATTTACCGAAATACGCTTAACTCGACTGAACGCCACATATTAACCCGTACAAAAAAAAAACTAAGTTAAATCGTAAACCCGGTAAAATGTTTACGTTCTGTACATTTGTTTGCTTGTTGTTGTTATTGAATACATTCCACGGGCCGCAATGAGACGAGGGAGTCTCGGATTTGCGGTGCTGCCGATGCAGGGTCGGGGCCAGCCCCGCTGTGATTCACCAACGGGGTCCGAGTCGGAGCCCCCCCCAAACAGCAGCAACGCAACGCTGCAGTGAAGCTCCGTAATGTTGGATAATCTCTATGAGAGATATCACGATCATGTCACCACCCCCACCTCCGTCTCCTCCTCCCCCCGCCTCTTCGCTCGCCGCAGACAGACAGAGCTAATGCGCCAACGCTTCCGACCTCATTCAGACAGCGCTAACTCCATTACCTAAACCCTACAGCGCCGGATAGGGGAGACAGCGTGGAGCATTAGCGGCAAGAGGCCATAATGAAGCGATGAACACCTGGTGGGAAAGACTTTTGACTTTTAAACAATTTTTTTTATTGCCGCCAGCAGCAACAGCACTGGAGGCGATTTCGATATGAAACACACAAAGTCACCAGCAAACAAATGAAAATAAACGCTACAAATCCACGCGCTGTGGCGCAAAAAGTACGACGCACAACACGAAATAAAAACCACGTGGTGGTGGTGGTGGTCATCGCGCACGACACGGTGACGAACGAGCGCTTCAGAAGGTGAACACGAGGGTGCCGTCCACGCTGGTACAGAGAGGGGCTTTTCCGGCTCCCCAGCGTTCGAAGAAGACGTGCTGCACATCACCGACATGTGTGTGGTACGCGTGCTCCAGCCGGAGCCGTGCCTTGAGCAGGCCTCTGAACACTGGAAGCACAGAGCAGCCATCAATGTCACCTTCCAGCAACTTTTTCCTCGTTCTGTACACCGCCAACTTCGCCTGAGCACAGGCGAAGTTGGCGAGGTCATGGCGCTTGTTAACCGCCGTTCTTCACTTGTGGCTGACAATTCACTCACGGGGTGAGTGGTGAGCGCGACGCGGTGCGCTCTACGAAGCCACCCGTTTATCTGCACGCAGCCTAAGTTCGATTCCCGGCCACGGATGGCATCAAGCAGTGGCGAGAAATCTCTGAACTTCAGCGCCCCTTGTGCCCCGAGACCAGAACCCCTAACCCCGAACTCCGCACCCCAGCGGCCACCTGCAAGGCCCCCTTCGCCAACCCGCACTGACCGGCGCGGTGAAGTATGGTCAAACGACCAGCGATGAGCGACACAGCGATTGGTTGACCGAGAGCTCCGTGTGGTTGATTTTGCGAGCCGCGCCCGTTCACTACTCCACGCATTTTAAGATATTCATTAAAAACAACACTGCGGTCTTAATTTTTTTTTATATATAATAAGCGACGTTTCGGGCAATGTCCCTTATTCACATCACATAGAGACGCCAGAGGTAGAATCCACTCTCGAGAGTCATCTCTACCTCTCTGGCCTCTCTATGTCGTGCCAAGGAGGGCCGTTTCCCGAAACGTCGCCTATTATGTTTACTTTCTTTTGAAGACCACACGGTGTTGTTGCTGTTGACACGGAACGTGCAGAGTTGTTGTTGTTGTTGGTTGTGGTTGTGTACCACTGCCAACGCAGCAGCAGCAGCACCGCTAATATAATAATAACGACGTGCTTCACGCAGAACCTCCCCTTCTCTGTAATTCTCTCGCGACGCTGTTCTGCGCACTTTGCAACCGTGTTCGACATTCCCTCCGCGGGCGCCTGCGCCTCTGATCCGCAATTGATCCAGCAACTGGAGAGAAAAAAGAAGGACTTGCACATCGTTAATTAATTATGCATAAACACTCGGTGGATTCATCCATATCATTGGGTGATGGTGATAGTGTCACTAAGCGCGCGCCTTCGTCATCATCACAACCAGGGTGGAACAAACGACACCACCCTATCCAAGCAAAGGGAACGATTCCCACCTATAGCCTTGGCAGACTGTTGGGGCAAGTGCTGCTAGCGAGCACCTATGAAGGCCGGCACGATACACGAAGAGATGGGTGGCCAGTAACGCGACCGGCCGCCTTTGTCTCCCCAGTGGCGATGCTTACACACCGCACCAGGTACTTATTTGATTCTGAGTCGACCCAGGGAAGGCCCAAGACTTCAGATAATTGTCACTGGCGTTGGTGGCCGTGAGCGGGAATCGAACTCGGATGACCGGGTTCGTAGCGTAGCGCGTTAACTGCCGAACCACCGCTCCACCCCACACATAGGGCTTACAGTACAACGGGGCCTGTCCGTGTCAACGGAAAGACACTCGGTGAGGCTTTAAGTGCCACAGTGGCTATGAGATGTTAACTCCCTCGCCTGGTATACAGGAGGTCGGTGGGTTCGATCCCGACCATGGCGCCTGCTGTATATGTGAAGTTTGCGGTGTCTCTCTCACCATCATCATCACGGTGGCTAGATGTTAACACCCTCGCCTTGGTCCTGGGTTCGATCCCGACCCTGACGCCTGCTGTATATCTGGTGTTTGCATGTCTCTCTCTCTTTCCGTAGTCGCGTGGTTGTTTTTCTCCGAGTCCTCCGGTTTCCCCTCCACTTATAGAATCAACATCACGCGTTAAGACTATTTGGCTGCTCTCAATTTCCACATGATTAAGCCACTGCGCTGAGCTATCATTTGTGGCCAGGTCGCTTCTGAAAAAAAAACGATATAACTCAGTGGGCCTTACCTGATAAATAAAATAAAAATTGTTCATTTAAGGTGTTTTATTATTAATATACCCGGTACACCACGTCAAGTATACCATCGCTGTGGGCTGTGACGACTAGTCACGTGCCGCCTACTGCAGTCTACCAGCGACCCGTAAACGGTTCAATGTTGTGACCCCAAGCTACCGCATGTTTACTGCGTTAAACCCATGCACAGGCAGGTCAAGGCGTGAAATCAAATCAAAGGGTTTATTTAAAAACGCGAGGCAAACCAGACCCGCCGCCTCGGCTGATGTCGCATCGCGGGGCAAGTCTCTTATCGCTGTCAAACCCTACGCGATTCATTTCTCGCACACATCTGGGAGTTTATCCACAATTGCCCGTATCTCTTGTGTAAGCGAGACCCATAATACAATTCCCTCGGTAGTGGTGGGGAGGGGGGGTCGTGGGGGAGGGGGGCTGTGGTGGGATGGAGGCTGGGGTGGATAGACCGGGGGGGGGGGGGGGTACTCACTCCATTACGAGGCATTACCATCCGCTCTCTGCGGTCACCCAACACCCCGCTGGCATGCTGCTCCGCTCTTGCTGCCTCGCTCGTGATGAAGGAGAGTCAGGCGGCACTTAAAACTCACCGGGACACATTGATGAGAACGGAGTTCCCTCGAGGCGATGGGAGATGGGCGATGGGAGGGGGGGCTTTGAGTAACGCGCGCGTGCATCTCGGGTGCGCTCTTCCGCAAGCAGGCGCACGCGTGCACTGCGACCTGTACGTGACCACGCCTGCAGCCCTGCGGTGAACGCAGATGCACATTTGTTCTGCTCACCCGTCTGCCTCTCTGCCCGTCTGATTGTCTCGCCCTCTCTGTCTGAGCCAGTTGTACAATGGACTTAAAAAGGTGTTGCGCCTTTTGGCGTTCTCTGGTCTGACACTGGTGAGACGAAGCCATAAAGAGGCTGTCTCTGCTGTAGGCCAATCAGCCTCAAAGACAACGACTATATATGATTATCAGTACACGTTTGTTTGCATGTTCACCGCAAGTAATGTGTGTGGTTAATGCAGTACTTGGTTGCTTGCAAAAGGTTTCTATTTGGTGTTTGACATCTTTTATTGCCAGAAAGGGTCAAACCAAATGTAATGTTCATACTTACCACCTGTCTGCCTGAATGTCAATCTGCCTCTTATCAAATCTATTGGAATTCGTCCAATCTCATCAGATTCCGGGAAGCCAAGCAAGCGTGGAGTCTGGATGGTGATGTAATACCACCATTCACAACAGGGTGCTGTAGGCTGTGTGATTCCGTGGTGGGCAGCAGAGGGCAGCAGCAGCAGCGGCAGCAAACATCAATCGTCGAACTCCCGTGCTCCCAAGTAATTGCTCACAGAATTCAGCAACCCAGCGTGGTGATGTATGTTCCTAATCCAGCAGTGGATAGACAACAATGACTGTACTTGTCCATGTACCTGCCTGTCTGCGTGTCTAACTAGGAGGACAATTGAAAGGCAATGTTCTCGTGTGTGAGTCAATTCGCGACCGAGGCTACAAAGCACGCTCCGACACGCGTGGTGCGTAGCTGCGCATTGTTTTGGGAGGAGCAGCGGCGCATTTGTTAACGCGTCGCGCTACGAAAACGCCAACCCTGAGTTCGATTCCTGGCCACGGTCTTACCACAGTGATACCCGAACCGGTCCTGGAAACTACCTCCTCCACCGGACCCCCTTCACCAACCGGGACTAACCGGCGTGGTCCAGTATGGTCAACCCACCACGAATGTTGAGACTCCATAACCGAGCGCAACGTTGACGCGTCCACACAGATGTGGTCCATTCTTACTGCAGAGCCTTTCGATTGAATCCTCCTTTGGTGGGACATCAACGAGTGGTGTTCGCCTTGTATGCGTGGTGGGTTATCTCAGATCTTGCCGTATGAAATGATTGAATACTCTCCTCTTAAGACAAAACGGCATTATCATTATCATTGTCGTCATCATCGAACTCAGTTGTCCAAAAGTATTCCTCCAACTTGCTCTTGGTCGCTTCTTTGGTTCATTATTTTGATCCCAAAGCCGCGGTGGCTAGGAGATGTTAACTACCTCGCCTGGTATACAGGAGGTCGTGGGTTCGATCCCGATCCTGACGCCTGCTGTATATTTGGAGTTTGCGTGACTCTCTCCCCGTGATTGTGTGGATTTTTCTCCGGGTCCTCTGGTTTTTTCCCTCCACATTTAGATGCATGCATTTAGAGTATTTGGCTGCTATTATTTCCCACAAGATGATAAGCCACTTCGTTGAGCTATCATATTATGATTGCCGGGTCGCTTCTGAAAAATAACTATATAGCTCCGTGGGCCTTACCTGGTAAAATACAAAAAAGTGTATAGTTTTGCACTCAATCGTTGCTTTAGCGATACCATATATATGAGACCCCAGGCTTTATTTGCCCAGCTGCTAAGGCCCCGTTAAGCTAAGAGGCTCCGTTCCATGGACCCCCAAAGTCTGCAGTGGCAGCAGCAGCTACAGAGACATTGCCGGCAGGGAATGTGCACACCGACAAGAGCGAAGGCCAACTTTATTTACACGAAAACCCGTGCCCGAACTCACTGCAAACGGGATAAACAGTGAGTTAGTGCCTAAAAAGAGCCTATAAACCCCCTGTGAACAGACACGTGTAAACAACCGGTGTACATCGCCCCTACTCAGATGGGCCTCAATAGAACACATATGCCCGTGTTTTCCCACCGTGTCGCTCCGGCAGCTCCTATATTTTGATCGACAAACGCGATGTGTGCGACTCTAGCTTCGCTCATATATTTATCGTGAACCTCACTTTGCGTCTTATCCTGATCACATCATGACCCCCCCCCCCATCGCATCCGCCGCTGCATCACGTGACGTATGGGATGGGGCCCACACGATGAGCCATTGACCTCTGATCCACAGACACGGGGCTCAAGTCAGCCCGCTGCCCTACTAGGCGCAGCTGGGAGCCCTGGTTTGTGCTTTTTTTTGAGGAGCAGTTGGACCTTTCATGCTCCCTGAGTATTTACGTTTCCTCTCCGTCCGTAATTTTAAGTTTTCAATTATTGTGACGCAAATCTCCGCGCAGCGCCACGCTCTGACATTCTGTTTACGCGTGTGAGCGAGCGGGTGGGATGTGTGGTGGGTGGGTGGGTTGGTGGGTGGGTTACTGTCGTGTGGGTGCGTTGTATTGGAGTGCTGTCACGGGAGTTAGCGTGCTGAGTCTTTTTTTGGTTGCGTCAAAGTGTACGGGCGGCTGAGTGGGTGTGCACGCGAGTGGGTAAAACGAGCGAGTGATTTGGCCGGGAATTGGGTAGATGTGTGAAAGTGAGTGGGGGAGTATATCTGAATGAGTGTGTTGGTTGAGTTCTGTTCGTGAGTGAATGGTTGGCTGTGTGGGTGAGGTACTGAGTCGGTGGGTGGGCTGGTTCGATGCATGTTGAACTTCGTGCGCACCGTACGTAGCCAACTGTGCTAATCGGAGTGCGGTTGGTGAATGGGCCGGGGGAGTGAATGAGCTG